AGACTTGCCGTGTTTTTAAAACCAGAATTGATGTTGCAAACTTGAACAAAAAATAAAGAAATAACAGCCTTGTAGGTATTAATATATAATTACATTAATATTATTAATAACTATGATGATTTCCTTTTTTCTTAAGCTTCTGAATTTTCTTTTATATGTCCTAAAACTGTATAGCATCTCAGCTTGTAAAACTTAATCATGCTGACATGAGCTTGTCTAGCGATAGCTGAATTGCCAGTCTTCTCACTGAGAACTAGTTCCATTACATTCACACTCCACGGCTGGACCACCATGTGTCACATCCAGGTTCAGCTCGACACATTTACGGTCCAAGAATGCGTGAGATGAAAATGTCTGGTTTGTCCTCATTTTCTTTGGTGCCGTACTTCTGAATTGATTGGGCTTTCTTTTTTGGTCCGTTCCAAAATTGAATCACTCATGTTTATAGTAAAGCATAAGTGCAGTTTAAATCCAACATTGTTTTATTCATGTCTCAAGAGTTGTTCATTTGCATATTTGGCTTTTTAAAGGGGTGACATTGAGCTCATAGGGAAAAGTTAAACATTTGATTACACCATATGAAGAGCATACTTGCTCCTCTGGTTTAGCATGAATCTCTGCCTTAAAACAAATGTTTTGTAGTTTCCAATGCAAAGACTTATGCTACCATAACTACTTTTTTCATATTAAAATAATACTAAAATTGCTCGAACAGGTTGGTTTTGGTATAAACTAATATTATAAACTAGCAGATTTACATTTTGTTGGACAAAAACGAAGCTCATTTTTTGATTGACAGGTTGTGAATTAAGAACATGAACCATAAAAAAACCCATTCTCTAAGGCTTTGGCAGGATTTCGGATGATACACATTGAGTCACCAATCTAAATTTCTCTTCACTATCATGTGTTCCGCATATTCACCTACTGTATGCTATAATCCAAAAATGGTCCATGTAGCTGCAGAAAGCAAATGATGTTGTATAGAGCTGTGTTCATATTCACAAATGTAATCAGGTTTAACATGCATTTTTTTTATTTGTTGTGCTGACACCTAGCGGCGTGCATGCAGCAGCACGCAAACGTTTTCAGTCACAGATGTCATAAGAAATGCTCTGTTTGCACTCCATTCGCAATGGTTCATTTATTCTGCTATCAAAATTGTCCAATAACAAGGCAGTTTCCGAAATAAAGTGAGTAAAATTCAACTGTTCAATATGGCGGCCCCTGTAAGGCGACCCGCTCCGTGTAAAAATATTCATAATGCATCATAATTGTCAAACATTGTGCTCGTTCCTATGTGGATAAAACGTGCTTAATTACGAACAAAATAGCTTTAACAACTTTTTACTAATAAAATTAAAGTTAAACTAGGGTGACCATGCGTGCCATTTTTTCCAGACGCGTCCTTGCCCGGATTTGTTTTGGCTTTGTTTTCATGCTTGCTGCAGGTAATGATCGAAAAGTAGTTTGACCAATAACATGCAGGCATTGTACATAATGGACCAATCATGGTGTGTGAGAGAAGGTGGGATCTACGGTCAAAGCGATGCAATTACGCGCTCATAGGATGTGTTCGACTTAAAAGCAGCGCGGCTCAGATCGATCAGTGACATCAAAGTACCTCGAGAGCGTTTTGAAAGCATAAGGAATCGTCTGTACGGTATTTTGATGTCATACACCGATCGGTCTGCACACGCAAACAAAGCCAAAACCTAGATATTTTAGGCAATATAGAAATCCTGGCCAGGACGCGTCCGGGAAAAATGGCACGTATGATATCACCCCAAGTTAAACTGATAAACTTATTTGTAAATCAATGTTCACCTCACATTTATTAGTAAAACGCAGTAAATATCAACTCATAGATTTATTCAGAAATATTACAAATCACACAAAAGGCCCGCTTTAAACAGAAGAAAACATTTAAAGTTCTTTTGATATTTAAAATGTTTAAATATTAAAATTTAATTTTGCTTCACAATCAAAAGGTTACACAATTAAACTTACAAAACATTACAATAAAACAACACTTCAAATGAAGATATTTCGTGAGTCTGGAGGGTCCATGTGGAGCAAATTCACAATAAAACGGAAAGTTGATTGACGAGCTGGTCTGCGGTCGGTCTGTCCGACGCTGGCGTCCCCGTCCCAGCACAGGCGGATCAGTTTTTGACACTTCTGTCCAAGAGAAGACTGGATAAAACATCCCTAGCGATGGAAGGGCGCAGATTATACGCTTATGTTATAACACTTTTCAGTTACAATATTTCATATTACAGTAAATGTATATATTTAAACATAGGCCTATACATATATTTACAACATATGTTGCAAATTTAAAGATGGTGTTGATAAATCACATTCAATTAATGTGACGATCTAGTCAGGGTTCTCAGTCCCGCTCCTGGAGGGCCAATGTTTGTTTTTAACTCCGCCAAATTTGTTTTCCTTTCCTTTCATAAAGTATAGAGTTCAAGTTACCTCTGAGTGTTACAATTATAGGATATTTCAGAAACTTAAAAAAGCTACTACACTTTACTGTAATATGAAATATTGTTACTGAAAAGTGTTATAACATAATCAAACATAATTCAAATAATGTATTTACTTTTCCAACAAAGGCAGGGTTTCTGCGGGGCATTGAAAATAATTAAAATTCATTAAATTACCTTTAATAACTAATAACAGTCATTCAGGACTTCGGTTCAAAAACTCGGGAAGTCTTAATTAATTTCAAACAATTGTTTGTATAATTAATTAATTTAAATTAATGTATCTAATAGACACATTTATAGCAGAACCTCAAGTAAACTACATATTCGTTCGGTTTGTCGGTCGTTCGAACGTTTGATTTTAGCATGGAATGCGCTTCATATATTTCTCTGTTCACGCTCCACTTCATCTGAGAGTGAATTCAGCGATCTTATCAGATCTCCAGCCGCCATGTTTCAAACGATCCAAATGTGCCACGCTTCCGCCAATCCCTGCCTTGAAGCAATGACTGGCGGAGGGTGGGCGTGGTCAGCTCGGAATGCATTTTCAAATTGAATTTTGCTACAAGTATCGCTCGGCGTCATGATGAAAATGCAATCCTAAGTGTTCTAACTGTTAGTCTAAATGCATTTAGGACAAATAGCACTTAAATTATCATTTTGCTACCATTTCTGCTTGAACATGTTACACATATCAAATCAATTTGTGTTATTCATTTTCATTTCGCAACTTATAAAGCGTTCAAATGTGCATGCAATTTACATATTAAGTTGGAAATGGCAAATGTAAATTATATAATTTAATTTTCATTTTACTTTTGCACCAAACTTTGCACGTATGGGTAATGGAAAATGTCAATTTAAATACAGAAATACAATGCCATTTTGCATATTGCATTTTAAATTGAATTTCGCTACCTATATGCTTCCATAGTCTTTGTTGCTGAGGTGCGTAGAGTGCACGACTGCACGTGGTGGCCGCGATCACGCGCACGATGTTTTGATTGTGCAGGCAGTGTTGCCAGATTGGGCGGGTTTGAATTTTATTGTGCGGGTAAAACTTGGCTTGGGCGGGTGAACAAAATTTGGGCTGGTTTGGGGTCAGTTTGGCGGTTTTCAAACATATAAATTGCATAGGCTAATTGTTTAACAAAACAAGCCCAAGTATGTATACTGCATCCAATCAGTCATCATAACGTTACTACACACACACACACACACACACACTGCAGAGGCGCTGGTGCTGATGTAAACGTCGACAGCAGCACTTATCACGAGGGCTCAGCACACATGAGTCAAAGGTGACAAGTTATTAGCGTGATAAGTTATAACGTATCTGATTTTGAATGTAGTGTGACTGTATATTCAAGTAATCACAATGCCTAAATATAAGTTAAAGAGTGGGAGAGTGACTCAACTCTCAAAAAGTGAATTATTGTGGAGTGAGATGACACCAAGGCTCTATCACTGCATCTCCGAAATCAGAGCACATCTGAATTAATCACAACCGAAACTAAATATGTCGGTTTATACGAGCATGTCTTTTATCTTTTAAACGTCCAGATGGATAAATCCTTGAAAACTGCTAGACTGGATTAGTTTTGACTGTGCAAAGTTCTGCATTATGTTCTACAATATGAACTTAACCAGAGGCTTCCTCTAGTTCTGTGTCAAATTATAGAGCGACACGATAAGCTAGGGTGATCATACGTGCCATTTTCCCAGGACGCGTCCTGGCCAGGATTTCTATATTGCCTAAAATATCTAGGTTTTGGCTTTGTTTGCGTGTGCAGACCGATCGGTGACATCAAAATATCAGACAGACGCTTCCTTGTGCTTTCAAAATGCTCTCGGGGTACTTTGATGTCACTGATCGGTCTGCACACGCAAACAAAGCCAAAACCTAGATATTTTAGGCAATATAGAAATCCTGGCCAGGACGCGTCCTGGGAAAATGGCACGTATGATCACCCTAGGTAAGCGCATTATTGTTGTTGGTATTTTTTTAATTGTCGGATTATAATTAAGTATCAATGAATGACACAGTTTTGCGTCGACTGTCATGGTGTGCGCATGAACGAGTGTGAAATACCTGCTAACTACGTTGCTTTTTCCTATCACTTATATTGGGCACTTTCTGCATTTAAACTGGATTATTCTGACTGCTGACATTGAAAATCATGCACGTGTTGTTTCGAGGGTATCGGTTAATTTCACGATTGCCATTCTGACAGTGTCTGCTTGCATATTTTATTCATGTTCGGTAGCCTAATTCTCTTTAATGTAGGCTATTCGCCCCGATTTGATCCGTTTACCTGCGAGATTTATCTTATTTATAATTTATATTAGCCTATTTTGTCGTCAATATTTTGTTTTAAGGAGTTAAAATGGCCCTTATCAACCTTGATTTACATATTCTATAACATTATTTTGACAGTTAAAGTTTTGGGCTGGAAATCGCCCATGCAATCTGGCAACACTGGGTGCAGGTGCGCCGCCGCCGCATTGAGTTCAGCCCAGACACTGCCTCGAGGCCAGCTTGTTTGTCACACATCTCACTTTCTTTACAGCAACAATCTCGTCAAAGTATGTGCCTTTGAACACCAGACCGAATCCACCGCTGCCGATGGGCTTCAAGGCCTGTAGTTCTCGCCAATGAATCACGGAGGACCACGGTCTGTGGGCGATTTTACCGTGAGACGTGTTTGTGGGCACACGCAGCGTGGATCCACTCGCAGTTTTGGATAGCGGGCTGCTGCACGCGCCAAACTTCAGCCCAAAATCCTTTGGCAGTAGTCGGGTGACGGCATAGTGCATGGTAACCGTGAACCCAAAACAGCTGTCCGCTAAATTTGGAGCTCCGCTTCGCGTGGGAGAGTTCACGTGCTCATTATATGCACGTCTGTCATATGACCATCACAAGGCGTTTAATTTGTAGGTTCTATGAAACTATGTTCTCGGTGTGTAGGAGGCATATTTACATAGGTAAACAATGGTTAAAACGAGTCCGTTTAAAACCAGTGCTATAAATCACCCGCGTTATTTGCGGCTCAGATGTAAATCTCTTTTCTACCTTACTAGTGCTGTATTATCAAAGTCTGACGCAATGATGAAACCAACATGCTCAGCGTGCCCTCGTTTCATCCATTTACTAGAGATCATGTGACTATATCAACCTCACTCTGAGCTAGTACAGTTATTTATTAATATACATGCATGCATAAAAAAACAACAATAGTGTTTGTGTATAACAATAGTAGAAATTATATTTTATATAAGCAATTTAATATATTCACACACACACACATATATATATATATATATATTTAAATATATTTTCTACCTTAGTAGTGCTGTATTAACAAAGTCAACAGATCAACAACAGGCTCAATGTGCCCTCATTACATCATCATTGTTATTCTGCAATATTTACACTAGAGATCATGTGAATATCAACCTTCTCACTCTCTGAGCTAGTACTCAAAGTTATATATAT